GTCAAGCCCCAGTATCTCAACTTGCTCTATCATAACTTAAGGACAAAGAAGATGATAGATGTCTCGGGTCACACCAAGGGTCCATCTAGGTCTGCACCTCTTCGCATCAGGAGCAAGAAGCTGATGTTTAGGAAGGCAAGAGCAGAGCAAATACACACTATATTCAACACTTCCCACCTTCCAACCTGTCTTAGACTTCATGTTTTAGATAACTTGCAGAGGAGGACACTCTGCAAGTGTGGACATTCTAGGGTTCAGCATTTCTCTCCTGCACTGAACTGCTCTGTGTTCTGTCTGGTCCCCATTTCCAAGCTGGTGCTCTCCTCCTTTCTGTCTCTGTTTCTGTGACTTTTGCCAAGAAGAATGTCCTGCCCAGCTGCTCACCTGTACCCTCAGCTTTTCTCTAACTTCAGTTAAAAAATTCATTTCAATCTTTTATTCAAGTGCCAGTGGCCAGGTTCCCTTAAGGTTTAATTTTTGTCCACTGCTCCTCTCCAGACTTATTTTAGGAGAAATCTTGCTGGTTCCTGCTTCTTCTGGGAAGTGTTGCAGACTTCTGATAACAGACCTGTCTGCACAGACTGTCGCGTTGTTTCTGTGGGTCCTCCTATGGGACCTGGGACCTGCTTTGCGAGAGCTGGGCAGAGCACGAAGCCTGCGGGTGCCGTCCTGGCTCAGCTCATCTCTGCCCTGGGGACACGTGAGCCAAGTAGTTCCCCAAAAAGACACTTGACCCTTTGAAGTGTGAAGGCACTTGATCTGCTTTAGTCTTGTGTCTTCTGATTTGCCTCTCCCTCTCTCTTTCCCACAGCACCTACTATTACTTCGTGACAAAATTTCAGTTGTTCTTCGTGATCTGTCTGTTACACACTTTCCTGATGATCCTGCAGATGTTACACATTTTCTGGTCCTATCTAATCATCCAGATGATCGTCGGTGTCATCTTCCATAGTGCGGTATGAAAAACCTTTATCTCCTCTGTGCCACCACTACTCGTGAGAGAGCCTGAGATCCAGAGTGACTCCTGCTCGCCCTCAGGGATGGGGTGGGAGAGACAGGACTGTCCAACAAACAGCCCGAGAGCTTCTGAAGTCACCTGTTGGGAGTTTTGTGGGTACCTTTGCTCATGGAGATCAGAGCAGCAGCTCCCAGTGTGTCCCAGGGACGTAGGAACCATCCACAGTCCTTTCTCCTCACTGCCCAACAGCTTCTCACTATGGAGTTTGGGAGAATAGGAACCTGTTGGTACGTGCAAAGTGGAGTAAGGAAGGAGCAATCAGATAAGCCTGGTAGATAGCACACTGTGGATGGCACCTCTGAGTTTTGGGTGCGTTCCACAGGCTTTTGATGTATGTCAGAGTTTGTAGAGGGATCATTGGAAGAAACCTTGTCATCAGAGATGCCTGTTCCCTGTCCTGCCTTGCTAACGTAAGCAGATGGCATCTTGGTAGCCTCTGAGTAGAATCATGAAGGCTCTGGGGATCTTTGGCCAGAAAAAAAACCCCACCACAGTGTTGGTGTTCTGCCTTCAGCTTATCTTGAACTACCCCTTCACTGAAGCTAAATAAAGAGAACAAAACAAGTTTTTCTGGAGGATAGGATGGAACACGATTGTAGATGTCTGCAAAATGAGGAGACCGGTCAATATGCCAACTGGACAAATACACGTTGACTTTCAGAGCTTTGGCAGCAATAAACTGCACAGGAAAATATGCAGAAGAACTACATGTAGAATAAATACTGACTTATTTTCAGAAGGTTACATTACAAGAACATGTTGCCCAAGGAAGTTGTGGATGCCCCCTCCCTGGAAGTGTTCTTGGCCAGGCTGGATGAGGCTTTGAGCAACCTGGTCTAGTGGAAGGTGTCCCTGCTGCTGGCAGGGGGGTTGGGACTGGATGAGCTTTAAGGTCCCTTCCAACCCAAACCATTCTGTGATTCTATGATTCTATGAACATATTGGGGCGATTAAAAAAAAAAAAAAAGAGTTCAAAAGTTAGGTGGAACCATAACAAAGTCAACCTCTGGCAGTTTAAGTCAACCTCCAACGCAGGGACAATTGCAACAGTGGCTTTAAGGACAGGATCACGCCTGTTATTTTTATTTTAGCTGTCGGGTTAACACACCAGTGCTGCGAATGAAAACAGGACTAGTGCCCTCTAACAGGTACCACGATACAGGTTTTACAGCTCATTTAAATTTTCTTTCTCTTCTCCAGACAAGAAAAGATGCCAGAAGTGACACTGAGGAAAGTGAGCGGAGCGAAGCAGAGGATCTGGCAAAGGACAAAGAGTAACAGCAGTCTGGCTGCAGAACGCCGAGAGCCGGGCAGACTCTTCAAGGCGAGGAGGCTGACAAGGACCATGGGAGAGGATGGTCAGGCTCACATGGCTTCACAGTGGTCTGCCCGAGGCACCACCCAACGTCTAGATGGAAAGTAAATCCATCGTAGCATTTACAAGCAGTTAAGTCACTTCAGGAAATGTTTTCTTCACTTCTCCTGTTGAGACCTTTCTTGTACTACTACATAACGATCATTTATCCAGGAAAATAAAGGTCTGCCAGCCAAAGTCTCACTGTAAACAGGGGAAGAGGAGTTGAACAAACTGCTGAAGTTATGACACTCAACTGTGCGTCCTGGTTTTCAGCTGGGACAGAGCTGGCTGCCTTCTTAGTAGCTCGAATAGTTTTGGGTTCAGGATGGGATGTGTTCCGAGAGTGTTGATAACATCCCAGTGTTCTCCATTGGCACTAGAAGTTGAAGGACTTTGTGTTTGCTAGTCTGTAGGTGCCAGGTCTATGGGATTGAGGAATGTTAAAATTAATAATCCCAATTGGCATTTGGCTGTGCCAACGGGATATTCCATATCATATCACGTCATGTTCTGTAGATTAACAGAGATTCTCTCACGGATCACTCGGGCTCTCGCTCTTCTGGGGTTGCGGTTTGGGTTTGTGGACTGTCTCTGCTCTGGGATCGCTGGCTGGGACAGGCTGGGCGTTGGTTGGTGGGCGGTGAGCAACTGCACTGGGCATCTCTCATTTGAATATTCCATTATTCCTGTTATCATTATTGTTATTAATTTAATTTCAATTTTATTCCAATTATTAAATTGTTTTAATCTCAACCCATGAGTTTTCTCACTTTTACCCTTCTGATCCTCTCCCCCATCCTATTGCGGGAGGTGTTTGGCTCCTGGCCAGGCTAAACCCACAACACTACTCAGGGAGAAGTCCTCTAAAATGGAAAGTAACTGCAACTCCTCCAAATGCACACTTTTCCACCAGAAAGTATAATTTAGTTTAAATGTAAACTTTCTGTTGGGATGTATTCAATTTGTAGAGGTTTCATTTTCAAAGTTGGAAAATGAGTGTTACAACACTAACATTTTAATGGGATAGTTTAGGGGTTGAATAACTTTTCACCTTGTAATATATTGTATCTGATGTAATTTTCGGAATTTATTGTAGAACATTGCATTTAAAGTCAACATAAAAATTAATTACATCTAAACCAAAGACTCTGTTTTACCTAGATTATGCATGATGAAGTTTTTTAGAATATCAGATCTTATGTCAGTAGGAAAATCTTAGAAACTTGATGGAGGTCTGACATCACTGCTAGCTCAAACGCTCAGAAAATGCAGAGGACAGATAAATCTACATATATATATAGATATATATGTATGTCCATAAACAATATACAGAAACCTGCAAACACTGTCTTTAAAATATGTTTTGTACCCAAGATTTAAGCATTTCACACAAATACTAGAGGAAACAGCTTCTGAGAAATGGGAAGAGGTGGAGCGTGAGGAGTGGTGTAACTAGAACAAGAACACACTGCTGAGAAGAACCATGGTCCACCTCCCACAGCTGACCTAGGCAAGGCAAAACATAAATAAAAGTCAGGAAAGATGTGTGAGAGAAAGGCAGAGGGAACTGAGGCAGCATTCCCGGGAAGGATTTTGACATTCAGGTCTGCAGGAAGCAGCGCTGAAAGGCAGCCAGGCACCTGTCTCTGTAAGGTGTTGGCATTAAGAAGGTAGCCCTGACCAGCTGTGCTTTGCTGTGAGTGCAGGAGCCTTCATCAGAATCCCAGACCGGTTTGGGGTGGAAGGAACCTGAAAGCTCATCCAGTTCCAACCCCCCTGCCAGCAGCAGGGACACCTTCCACTAGACCAGGTTGCTCAAAGCCTCATCCAACCTGGCCTT